CCTTCCGAGAGGCTCGAGACCTGCGGCTCGGGGTGGCATGACTTACGGCTTCCTCACTGCTGCTGGGGGTGGGCCTCGAGGCTGTTGTGTCCTGTCGGTTGGAGCACAGTGCCTTGGGCCTTCCAAGTTGGCATCTTCTGAGTGAGCTCTGGTTTCCAACCCTATGCACGCTACTTGAATCAGGGTGTTCTGGCCCCTGCCACCAAAGGAAGAAGGGAATGTTTTTGGAAACATGTCCTTCATGTCCTGATCCTATATTCTGGCTAGAGCCAGTATAGTTCCCTCTGTAATTGCAGTCCACTGCATTAGGTCCTTTTGTAGTTTCAGGCCTGTTTAATTACTGGTAGTGTTGTGGCGGGCTGCCACAGCAGCCATCTCACCTTCTTTGAGATGCTTCTTTTCAATTTTTGTGTTTTGTGTTTTTCCTTGATCTCTTTGATGTTCATGGTGTTTTATGTCAAAGCCAACGAAGGTGCTCCAGTTGTTGAAAGTTTCTCTCTTTATAAAGAGACTTACTCTATGGGTTTGTATATTGAATAATAATGGGTAGCCATTACTGTTGAGATTTGGGGATGCAAGACTGCATCTGCTCCTCGTTTTCCTATAGCCTTTTGCAGAGCTAATAGCAGACTTTATCTGCATGCGCCTTGCTGTTGTGAGGTGGCAATGAAGGCCTCCTTGTCCTGTGACCATGACCTGCATGTCCCAGGGTGCATTTGCGTGTCAGTGGTCTTTCTCTTGTCAGGTAATCAGATATATCTGTGCCTGGTCATTAAGCCTAGCATATGTTTGTGTGGTTTGTCACGTGGGATAATACTGCCTTTCATATACCAGCAAAAGGTGCCTTCCATCCATTTAATGTGCATCTGCTTCAGTCATTTGATCAGATGCACAAGACAAGTTTGAAGAATCCTTGGGAAAGAATTGCAAGGAAGGGCCTGTGGCTGTGTAAATTGTGGGGGTGAGCAGTGGGATGGCCATCTCTTTTGTTGGATGTGTTTCTATGGCATCGCTATTCTGGAATCTTTGTATGGTAGAGGAAGATAATTTTCTTTTGTCTTTTTTTTATGTTGCCCAGAGAAAGAACGTAAGGGGTGGTGCAATAATTACAAGAATTGGAGAACGGAGGTAAGAAAGTGGAGAACCCCTTCTGTCATGATACTATATGTTTGTACCTTATTTTGGAATGTTTGGCAAACTGATCATTGCATAATTGCCTTGTTCTCATCGATAATTGAAGAAAAAGCATTTTCCTTCCTATGTTGTACTGGCTGGATCTTGCCATATCTTGCCGTTTGTGTAGTAGATAAAATGAAACTAACTTACGGTATGAATCTCCAGGCCTTTGAATTGTAATGGTGAGATTCTTCTTTGGGGAAGATGACCTCTGCCCTCAGTAATTACCTTCTGTAAGAGAAATCCTAGAATCATAGATTTCATACTTACATTGCAGATTCTGGATCATCTGGGTTATACTGTGGTGCCTGGCTGATGCTGTGGCAAGAATCAGTCTTTTAGTGATGGATGCATGTAGATTTAATTGCTTACATTTCAGCACAAAACCTTTAAAAATCCTTTCCTTGATTAAAGAGGTTTTTTGTGAGATACAAATATGATCTTGATTAAACCTAATGACAGTTCTTTGTCAAACTTTTGTTTTGGCCTTGAGTTTATTGAGCTATTCTGTGTTCCCCGTATACTAAATTAATATGTTGCTCAGCTAACTTGATGATAAAAAATGCTAACATAAGTCTCTTTGGATTTGTTAAGGGGAAAAAAAAAATCTACTGTGTCACAATAATAGTCCATTTGGCCCAGTAGTCTGTCTCTGACTGTGGCAATAGCGGGTGCTAGTTAGGGAGAGCAGGTGAGTCTGGCTGTTTTCCTCTCATAATTGCCCAACATCTAAAATTATTGTATAAAATATTTTAGAAAGTATTTCCCTATGTAGGCTTTTTGATATCTGTGTGAATTTGTGCAACTCCTTTTTGAACCTGCTGATAACTATTCGCTCTGCCAATGTTCTTTGGCAACAAATTCCAGAAGTTCATTCTTTACTGTGTGAAGAAGTATTTTCTTTACCTGTTTTGAATCAGTCTTATACTGGTTTGAGTAAATGCTACCTACATCTAGTTTTGTGGGATTTGGTGAAAAGCGGTTCTGCGTTCACCTTATTTGTCACCCTTGTGACTTTCTAACCCTCAGCTTTCCTTTCAAATTGGAGTGGTCCAGCCTTCTCAATCTCTTGTAAGGCAGTTACCCCTGTCTTTGATCATATCAGTTATTGTTTCTTGTATGTTTTCTAGCTCCATTTCATCCTCCTTGAGATGTAAGGAGCAGAACACAGTTTGTGAGATGTGAGCACACCAAAGTTTTTCCATGGAGGCACAATGACACCTTCTGACTTCTTCTCATTTCACGCTTTTCATCCGAAGTCTTGTCTGAGAACTTGCGAATTCCCTAGTCTTCTTTTTAGTCTTTGATTTGTCTATCACTCTGGGAGCTTTGTGTCTCACGGAAGAGTTAAAGTGAAATTGAGTTCTTGGTTTGGGATTAGGCATTTGACAGTAGTAATGCTTAAACAGCCCTAGCTCTCCATCCTTGCTGATTGTATTTGTTGCTGCGCTGCCCTCTCCATTATGCTGTTTTTCTATGGTTGTAAGATAGCTATACTGAGACTTGGTCTTGTTGTGGAGGTGAGGGGGAACAACAGTTTCATAAACAAAATGTAAAAAGTGGTGTGGAGGTGAAAACGTGCAACTCCAAGTGGCTCAGCATTAATTAAACTGGTATTTGGAAGAAGTGGGCACTGAATATGAAGTCAGCCTGGAGTTGGAAGAGTGTAGTACGAGGAAGCTGTTGGGGAGCCAGTAGCAATAAATCCTGTTTCTGGAACATGCTGATACTGGGATTCTGTATCATGCTGCTCTTAATCCAATGGAATGGCCTAGTGATGCATCACTCTTAGTTCATGTATTATAGTTGCTTTGATATTTGCCATTGGTTCTCCCATTGCTCAAAATATTCTGAGGGAAAAAATCTTGTATAACAAAAGAACAAATCAGACTTTTATGAAAAAATCTAACTATTTAAATGTAAAGGTGCCTGGGTTTGCAACAAATGACAAATGTTTCAGTTGTTTCAGTACATAAATTGAAGCAGATAAAATTCTAGAGACAAACATGATAGTTGCAGAATTAAACTTTTCCTGCCGAACTCCCTGACTCCCACAATGCAACAATGGCCAACAATATTGCATAGTTTTTATCTGCAAGAAATGGTTTCTATGGTATAGGACTTAGTATGAAGAATTTAACAGAAAAAGCTAGGTTGAGGTTAGTGTTGGTAGGAATACTAATTCTCACAAAGCTCTATATATTTCAGTTTCATTGACTAAATCAGTTATTTGGTAGGTTTAAATTATGTGGTGAAAAGTTGTAGAGGCATGTTTACCTAAAAAGTTCTTGGGCAGGAATGTCTTGTGTTTTTTTTTTTTTTTTTTTTGACAAATCTTTCAGTTTACAAGTTTTCATTTGGATGGGAGTTTTATATAGAACAAGCAATTTTAAATTTTGTAGTATGATTTTTATTTACAGATAAAATATTTAGAATCTGTAGTTACTGGGCCCGCTGTAACTTTTACATTTCTTAAGAGCTTTGGAAGTGGAAAATTCCTATTTTAAGAGCTGGAAAGGTACATACAATACACCAGTAGTAATTAAATTTAAATGCTTTTTTTTTCTCTCTCTCTCTATTCCATCTTTGGCTTGTCCTCTCGCTAAAAGGTATGACAACCTTTCCAAACTGTTGCCGGTGAAGCACCCTTAAGCATGGAGAACTTTATTTTGTATGAAGAGATAGGAAGAGGAAACAAGACAGTTGTTTATAAAGGAAGAAGAAAAGGAACAATTAATTTTGTTGCCATTCTTTGCACTGATAAATGCAAAAGAGCTGAAATAACAAACTGGGTAAGAACTGGTTTTCCTGCTACGTATGGGAAAAGATACAGATTCCAAAATCCTGATAGGATAGATAACATGTTTAAAAAAAAAAAAAAAAAGAAAGAAAAAAAAGTGGATACTTCTTTACATGGAGTTTGTAACCATTTATATCAGCTTTTTAAGCTTTCGAACCCCTGGATTGTAAATGGAGGTTTTTAAAAAATATTTTTATTTCAGTATCTCAGGTGGTTTTACTGTTTTTTAAATTGCAAGACTAAACACATTTGTTGAGAGGCTTACCGTTTCTATGCCCTGTCAGAGAACCTGTTGTAAATATAGTTACAATCATGTAATGGTTTACTTTACTTTGTTCTCTGTTGTGCAAATCCTGTCACAATAGCAGCTTTCAGGAAATAATCATTTTCATACCTACCAAGAAGAAATTATTTTTGATGAAGAAATAGCATTTAAGATAAATCAGTTTTGGCTTGTAAAAGTTTTAAACTTACAATACTTCCTGGAAAATAAACTGTAGTTGATACAGTTAACTATTTCAGATATTTTCTTTTTCCAGTAGATATATTTTGTTTACTATTCCCTCCCATTGTTTCAATGATATTAAGTGATTATGAGTTTGTTCAAATTAAGCCTTTTGTTCTTTGAAGCGCAGGAAATTTTTCTACCATAAACAGTTTAGATTTTATACATTTCAGTTTCATTACTTTACAGTCCTCTTAGAAAACCATCAGACCTCCTGTTACCACTCTGACAAGACACAGAAATTATTCATGTATCTTGTATTATTTCCGCAGAAATTGAGCAGTCTGGGTATGATAGCCAGACACCGTTAATGATTGCTCTTGCCTGATAAGATTAAGGATGAAGAGAAAATTTTTCTTACTGTACTCACTCTATTGTTTCACACTTGACTTATCACTGAAAAAGAACATAGGAATGCAAGTTTGTGTGAAATTTGGATTGATATGTTACTATTTAGGGATACAAAAAGTTTAAGTAGTGTTTATAAATCTACAATGTCTATTTTTAAAGCGATTGGGGAGCTTTCCTATAGTTTTGAAAATGGATAAGTTGGGCAAGGTCTGTGGGTAAAGTTATCATTACTCTAGTTACATGTTAGAGGATCATTATCACCTTTTTTAGTGCATGGGAAAAAGATCGGAGAACAAGCAGGAACAAGCAGTTGATCTAGAGTAATGTTGTATTATGATTATTTGGATGTGAGGGGGGAAAAAATATGGCTGTCTTTTTTTTTTTTTTCCTCCTCAATTTACTACATTAAGAACTTTGTTTTAGGTTCGTCTAACTCATGAAATCAGACATAAGAATATAGTGACATTTCATGAATGGTATGAAACAAGCAACCATCTCTGGCTTGTAGTGGAATTATGCACAGGTAAGACTAGCTCAAAAGCTAAACATTTATTTAATGGGCACTTACTAGAGACTTTGTATAACAATTTCTCCACAGCAAATATTCAGATCCAAATATGAGAAGGGTGGATAAGTTAATGATCAGATATTTGAGTGTTCTCTGTATATATAAAAAGTGTTTGTGCTTTTGGAAGCATTTTTCTAACTTTAGACTAATGTTTTGAAGCTTACATACTTATAAATAGAATAAGCTGTGGATTTCTTCCTCAGTTTGTAGAGCCTTGAAAGTTGCTTTTAAAATGTGGAAAATGCATTCCACCGTTTATGTGGAGGATATCTCTTGCTTGTCTTCAGGTAACAAACGTGGGTTTCTTTTATCAGATACTGTGTACTTCTGTTAGTTTCACAATTTTTCTCTCTATGTATTTTGGCATATTATGGGATTATTTAATATGCAGTCTTCTAAAATACGTTTAAAAAAGTAATAATTGCATGTGATGGAAAATCCTTTACTAAGATTTAGTTATTTAGTATCAGATTGATTTTAAAGGAATGACTGGTTTCCTGAACAGCATAAGAGAGACCTGGAAATAAAATGTTAAGATTCAGCATTGTTGAATAATTTGAAGAATATTGTGATGACAGACCTTTTAGGCTTGTTATCCTCTGAAAGAAATTACTGGGCAGAGGAAAAAGGCTCAGGAAAATCTATTATGTGATTTGGAATAAAAGATCGAGTATGTTTTCCTATGCAAAACTCTTCCTGATACCCTGCTTTCATTCAGGCGATTAAACTTTGTGTCATCCTTGTAAAAAGCTGTAAAATTTGGCTAAGATATGAATCATAGATAACCCAGAAAACCCATAGATTATTTTGGAAATACAAATTGAGGTCTCAGGGCAACAGGCCGGGTGAAGGAGTCGTGGAAGGATGTATGAGGAAGAGGAATGGGATCTAGGGGAGATGGGAATTTAGGACAGGAAACTGGGACAGGGAAGAGACTGGTTGAGCAATGAGCTTGTAGAAAACGGGATTGGGAGAAGTCAGAGTTCTATGAACAGTCAGGACAGCAGTGACTCAAACAGGATGAATCTGATGACATGCCTGAGAATCAGTGGGATGTGAGGAAGCAGGTATTGGGGGTTGGATAAAGAAATGTATTTTGCCAGGACAGAGAAACTGTAAGAATCAATGGAGAGAAGCATAGACAGTGGATGTGAAGCGCGGGGAAGGAGATGGGTAATATAGCACATGTGAGGGAGAAGGAAGGCTTTGTGGATGTAATGTGATCAGAAACATAACCTGGGTTTGAAGGAAACTGGGAATGTTGGGATGAGAAGTCCAGAGAGGTTAAGCATAGGACTTGCTGGGCTAGGAAGCTGGGATTTGTATGAGAAACCTGGAAAGTGAAAGTTTAGTCCTGGCTTGCTTTTTAAAAAAATGAGTAGATAAACAAACTCG